AAAGGTATAAAATATGTTGATTTTTGTAACAACCCAATTTTCACATCAAAAAAATTTTGTTTAAAAACATTACTTTAGAAAATATTAATAACTAAAACATCATCCGATCATCCATAATATAAACTGAACCATGTCCGAAAACCAAAACATACAACTAATCGGAATATCAGAGTATCAATCCCAGAAAAGCTCGTAAATGCGGAAACCGAAGAGGGTGTGTGTGTGACATGCTGCTATCGCGCCGGCTCCTTTCCCCTAGCTGAGGAGGTACCTGAAACCAAAACTGAAAACCGTAAGCACAAAGCTTAGTGAGCTCCCCCATAATACCCCATACCATACAAGCATTTAACAAATAACATGCAATTAGGAGATACGGGCCCCGCCCACACTCGTGAAGATACGGGCCCCGCCCACACCTCACTTTCTGAGAGATACGGGCCCCACCCACACTCGTGAAGATACGGGCCCCGCCCACACTTCGCTATCTGGGAGATACGGGCCTAGCCCACACTCCATTCTCGGAGAGATACGGGCCTCGCCCACACTCAACCGCCAACTCTTATCATACAAGTATCGCACAGACAACAAGTGTAAACAATGCTATCATACTGGCATATATCATAATCAACTCAACTAATAGATACGGGCTCGGCCCACACTATAATACTAACGTCTCATCTATACGGGCCGGCCTTGGTGCCTTAGACCCGTTACTACTGGAAGGAAACTCACCTCGAAATAGCTGCTGGTCTGTGTGGGAATTGATCACCTACTACTGCTGCTGCTGCTCCGGAAACTCCCCGTCTGTAATTCCCACAATATACTTAATCATACACTGCTAACTGTCCTTTGGGTAAAAAGACCATTTTACCCCTGGTCTAGCCCTAAGTCAATTCGAAGTCAACTTTTAGTTGACCCAACTCGCCGAGTGGATCACCACTCGCCGAGTCCCTGTCCAGACTATTGTCCTGGGTCCCTGATTCTACTCGTCGAGTTGGGTTGTGACTCGACGAGCTCACCTTCTAATCTGTCATTCAACTCCTTCATCCTACTCGCCGAGTTGTATGAACAACTCATCGAGTTCATCTTCATCCGAAGAACACATATGCTAAGACTCGCCGAGTTGTATGAACAACTCGCCGAGTCTGTTCTTGATCTATGAAGATTGCCTTGGACTCGCCGAGTCAAGGCATTGACTCGCCGAGTCCTAACATGGGTGAGTTCAGCTCCCAACTCACCGAGTCACCCCCTGTGGCTCACGGCTCAACTCGACACATCATGAAGGGACCAGTCCAGTGACTCGCGACCAGACTCGTCGAGTCACATATACGACTCGCCGAGTCGCAGCCATGCATCCATCAAATACGCCGATTTGCTCAATTCCAGTCCATGCCATTCACAGATCTGGGCTTCTAGGACACAAATCACACGTAAAGTTTCCAACTTTACGTGTAGATATTCACCAATATGGATTTTAAGGCTCAAAGTGCACCAAAAGAGGTAGATCTAGGGCTTTCATGCAATATGACCCCATAAAGGCATTAGATCCAAGTTCCAGGGACTAAATCATGCCTAGATCTAAAGGCTAACAACTTATTACAACCCACAAAGCACAAACAAGCTTGGGGAAGAGCCCAAGAAGGACTCCTATGAAGCTAAAAGAGATTACAAGCTTGAAAACAGGGGGAAACGAGCTATACCTCAAGGAAAACGTTGGGATGACACAAAGATGCCTGGTCTCCTTCTCCTCTTCTTGATCTACTCTTCTTTCTCCTCAAAATCTTCAAGAACACTCCAAAAACACTTCAATCTCTCAAGGAATTAAGGGAAAAGCGAGGTTGGGAGTTCTGGGGGTGAATGGGGACGAGGTTGGGGCGGAATGAGGGTTTAAATAGGGTGAAAACCCTTGAAATTTAGGGTTTCATCCAGCAGCGGTGACTCGCCGAGTCCGGGATATGGACTCGCCGAGTCCGGGATATGGAATCGCCGAGTCGCCAACTTAAACGTGTCCTGAGTCTCGTCCATACTCGGCGAGTCGGACCTTATGACTCGCCGAGTCCAAGGCTAAAATAGGGAAATGCTCAAATAAAATTTACATACCGGAAACCAAGTGCTACAATTTTTCATGCATTGTTTCTCATGGAGAGGTGACTCAACTAATTTGAAGGCTCTGAACAAACCAAAAATCTGGGGTAATTTGACATTTACTATATTTAATACTATAAACAATTTTCCTTTATCTGGGATTGAAACTCACAATAATAAACTAAAAAGTTTATAAATTGTAAAGTTAATTTTTTTTATTATGTATAAATTTTTTGTGAATATATTTAAGATATTAAGTTAATTTTTCTAGTCATTTTAGATGCAAATTCTTTAATAAAATTTTCATAATCAATTTCTTTTACTAAATATTTTTCAATTGATAAAATAACTAATCCATTTAATATTTCTTGTGACAATATAGATCTTAAATAATTTTTTAACAATTTTAATTTAGAAAAAAAAAAAAAAGTCTTCCGGTAGAGGCAACATTTACGAAAATCTCCTATAATAAAAGAAGGTTTTTTTGCCACATGTCCTCTTCCCATTCATTTGGACACATGGCATTTTTTAGAGTTTTAGAATTTTCTATTTTCCACTTGTCATTTTATTGTATTTTTCATTTTATTAAATTAAAATTCCACATTTAATATGTAAGGTAATATATATGTAAGGTATTTATTAGAAAGAGTTTATATATATAATATATTCAATACATTAAAACCTCATTAATTTTAATAATTTAATTTTTTTTTCATTTTTCTTATAAATTCAAACTTTTAAAATTGTTAAAATTTCATATTTAATTTCTTTTAAATAAACTCATGTGATACATGGGTGTCATACCTAGTAATTAACATAATTCTATAGACAACATATGCATTTGGAAAATAGCTAAACCTTTTAATGTAATTAAGTATACTAATAATTGTATAACATTCTAAATATACAATATGTCTTAAAAGTTTTAGTTCATGAAATAAATTTAAATCGTCCATATTTATGTTAGTATCATGTTTTAAAGAGTTTTCAAGATTTAAACAATATTTTTTTAAAGTATTTTTATAAAATGATCAATTTTAATTTTTTTTATACTAAATTGAAAACCCAAAATATTTATGAACTCATTAAATTGATCAAATCTACTTTTAAGTGTACTATATATAAAAAAGAAATCAATTTTAAATAACTCAAGAGGACTTTTATCGATTTTATTAGCAACATTTTCATCAAATCGTTTATTTCTTCGAATGATATGTTTTTCACGAAATTCAGGTTTTATTTCTATTTCTAAATCCAATTCTTTTGCATCATCTAAAGCCTTTTCAAATCTGTCTTTCTCTATATTTTTCAAAGAAACATAAAATTCCATTAAGTTGATCTATAGCATCATTGATGAAATTTTACTTATTTCAAACATAACACTTAAATCACTATCGCAAACTCGTTGGAAAAGTAGGATAGAAAATATAAAAACAATTTGATTTCAATCACCACAATTAAGAAATACACTTTTACAATTATCCATAAAATTTCTTATAATATTTTCCACTTTTAGTTGATGAAGTAAAAATATCGAATATTTATGTTGTACAAACTCCAAAATTTTCACTAGCTTTAGGACACAAATTACTCATATCACAAATTACTAAATTTAAACTATGACAACCAAAAAGGAGTGTAGAATGCTCTAGGATTAATATTTAAAAATTGTTTTTGTACACCTTGATGTTTTTCTTTCATATTTGATTCATTGTTATAACCTTGACCCCTAACATAATTTATATCAAGTCTTGCATTTTTAATTTTATCAACTATTGCATTATATAAACTTTTATAACTTGTATTATCTATAATTAAAAATTATATAACATACTCTTTAACTTCTATAGTTGTTGCTAAAAGATCTAAGCATCATAAAATAATTGATATTTGTTTCTTATAACTTGTATCGGGAGTACAATAAAGTATTATTAAAATGAATTTATCTTTTTTTTTTTTTTTACTTTTTTTAATAATTTTATTTTTAACTTATTATGCTAGTAGACTAATAAGTTCATTTTGAATAAACCAACCATGTTCGTTTGTATTTTTCTTTATTTGGTTTTTTTTTGCATATAAATGTATTAAAGCTTCTTAAATGTTGATCTTTTAGAAATTTAAAATTATAAATCTTAGTATGATATTTTTCTATGATTAAATCTCTTAAATTAATATTAATATTATTCCATCTACTTTGATTATATATGTTTAAAGGATCGTTATCCTTTTTAATATTAGTTTGTTTGTTATCATTTTCAATATCAATTTATTCATTATCATTTTTGATATTAGTTTGTTCATTATTAATTTCAATATTAGTTTGTTTATTATCATATTCAATATTAGTTTTTTCATTATCAATTTCAATATTAGTTTACTCATGATTATTATTATCATGATTATCTTGTTCTTGTTTATTATCGACATTTTTGTTTGTAGTTAAATTTTTAAAAAACAATCCCTTTTGTGATTCTATAAAAGATTATTGTTGTATTTTCCTTTTCCTTTTGAAAGTCTCTGATTCATATTTTCTCTTAGAAATGATTATTAATTATTGTATTAATAATAACAATGAACAATCACCAATACCACTACAAATGAACAAACAATAAACTTGAAGTAATAGATTATGGATTAGTAGAAATACCTGCTGCCTTGAGAATAAAAGATAATTGAAAGCTCAAAACTGGAAAACTTAAAATCGTTCAAACCCTGATTCTATTTTTTGTAATCTGTAATCAATGAACAAAGAACAATGGACAAATCAAATGATGGAAAAATTAACCATAATCGGCTATTAACCCTAATAGATAATCAGATAATGGAATAGTAAAGTGAAAACATTGCACATACCTTGAATCATCAAATATTTTTGAATAATGGAGAATAAGAGAAACTCATTAGAGAAGTCGAGAATGGAGAAGGAAGAAGAACATAAGGTATTTCGGTAATCAGCAGTTCATGCAACCTTTCAGTGTTTAAGAATCAAGATTCGAGAAGCCTAGAATCGATAATTAATCAATCAGAGTGCAATAATGGAGAAAGAAGGAAGAATAACATAAGTGTGATCATCGCTTTTGATTTTTGAGGCGTACGTATCAGGGAATGGAGAAGAGAATGTATCAACATTAGAGAGGTATTTGGGTTTTGTGGGGCCCTTTAGAAATAAGGCCATAAGCCCTAACTTAACTCAATAATACATAAGGCCAGACATGTTCTCATGTTTTGCTACTTTGGATGAGGCAACTTGTAAAGCAACCTGATCCATAACAAACCCTACTTCCCAAGTCCACAAGAGGGGAAACCATTGTTAGATCCACACAAACATGCTTCACTCATGCCCATCCAAAAACTAAAACTTTAGTTGGTCTAAGTGTTGATCTTCCTTCCAACGAGTCATTCAAAAAGTTCATATGCATCTCTTTCTTAGCAAAAACTTAGCGTATCTAAATATGTAGAAAAGAACATCTATAACCAGATTGTGTTGGTACTTGAAACCTAAGAGATCTCTACAATAAACTTCATGGTCTCCAAAGGAGTCCAAACATGCCTTGTGACAAACAGGGGATGTCTCGTTAATCGGAAATAAAAGAATCATAAGACGATACTTGAAGATAACACAATACTCCACTGACGGCCTATGCCGACTAAGATCGTGAATATGAGTAGTCATAAGAAAATTCTAAGCATGTAGTGCCCTTAGACACTCAAAAATTACTTTCTGCGTAATAGTCATGTCGAAGTGAACTTCTATGTCATGGATAATTTACTAAAAAAGGCACTAAACAATGCATGATGGGCTTTAAGAGCGACGATACGCTTATTACTGAAACCACTGAAGTTAAATCTCAAAATCATATCAAGAATACATGTCAAAGCACAAACATAATCAAAATCCATATCACATATACCACTATCTCTCGTAAAATATAATATTGTAACTAACTGTATTTTATATTTCGCCCATATCATTTGCCCAAACCCATCAAAGAATAAGCCACACAACATTAGTGATCATTGTAGAACAATCTAAAACTTAAAGGCGTTCTATGTCGATTAGCATAAACACAAGGACTTCCATCGCCTTTAAATTTAGTATACGACTTCCGACGTCTTTTTTTCCCCCAATTTTTGAAGCTTCTCTCAACCGCACTCTTTACTAAAATAATACTCCCTCCACTCTCTTCAACCTCCATCACTCATCTCTCTTTTCGAGATATACACCGTGCATATCCCAATAAGTCTGATCGGAGGTAAGATTTCACCGAAATTCAGACATTATCGTTTCTTCATTCGACAACCTCACAGCCATTTAACTGAATTTCCCTGTTCTTATAGTTAATTTCACGATTTTACGTTAATTTTTTGTTCTTATCGATTAATCAATGTATATATGGGTTGAATTGATGCAGTTTGTGTTTGTTTATGGGTGAACTTTTTGTTTGTTAAGATTGTGAAAGTATGTATACTCATGGTACTGATTCTTGCTCTGTCACGAGTTTTTGTTGGATAGTGACATTGAATCGATTAAAGGAAGAGAGGAATATGAGCAATTCAGTAGGGCATAGTTTGCTTCGAGGGCCAGTTTTACAGCATCAAAGTCAAAAAAATTCTTGTAGTTGCATTGGCGGAAATACTTTGTTTCAAGCTCAAGCTACTTCTCTGATACGGAAGTCATCGTCGTCGGCTTTGTCGTCTATATTATCCAGCGATTTCCGTGGTCATAGACTGACTTTGCGAAGATCAGGATTGCGGAAAAATCCAGTGCTTTCTGACGTTGTTCAAGCTGTTTTAGCTACCGATCCGGCATCCGAGGTACTTTTTAGACACTTCATTATTCGTATTGACATTTTTCATCTTCTCCAGTGGATTATAGCTGTAAATTATGGCAATCGTATCTTTTTAAAGCGCGCTGTTATCTCCTTTTTGTGAAACTGTACTTAAGATGATACTTTAATGCTAAATCTTTTGATTATGTGCGTTTATCTGTAAAGCTAAACAAAGAACATACATGTATCCCAGCAGCATCACACGAGTGCCAAACACCATTCCTAATATAATTATATACGTTGCATGCATCTTACACAATAAATATGCTGCTCTACATGCCTACATGGAAAGGCTCTAAAACTATTATGATATGTGCTTTTGTTACCCAGCTCTTTTTAACATTCTGCTTTAGATTTATATATTTTATAATCATTAAAGGGCATAGAATGGACACATGTATCAAGTAAAGATCTTTGAATGATTTGCTATAAGTGTGTCATTCACTGCTTCTTGTTAAACAATCGTTTGAACTCGGTTCTCTTTTTTTGGTGACATAATTACATGGTTTAATACTCTTTTTTCTTTCATTGTAGCAACTGAGACTAAAGTTCATCTTGGAAGAAGATATTGAGATGCAGGTATATGTGGATTAAGACATGAGATGTACATTAAATTCTTGGGAATTCAATTATAAAACTTTCATACACTTTGTCTACTAAAATCAGTACCATATTTTTGCATACAGGTTGATGTTAAGATCTCCTCTATTCCAATGGTAGAGATTCAGCTCACTAATAGTAGGGACCATTTATATCTACATTGGGGAGGTCTACGGAATGTAAAGGAGTAAGCTTTCACTTGTGAAAATATCTGTGATTCTTCTAGGTTTAAAATTTGTTTTCACCCTTTCATGATTTTCACATTCTTCTTTCATTTCTACTTCTACAGAAAATGGGTACTCCCCAATCGTCGTCCTGAAGGTACTAAAGTATACAAGGAAAGGGCTCTTAGAACCCCCTTTATAAAAGTAAGTTATGTTAAAAAATATTATACAAGATACTACATGAGGAACAAATCTTTTTTTTTTTTTTTTTGGGTATAAAACCAACTAATTTATGCCTTCATGTCCTTTTTCATAGTCTGGTTCCAATTCATCCCTGAAAGTTGAGATTGATGATCCTTCAATTCAAGCTCTAGAGTTCCTAATAGTCGATGAAGCAAAGAATAAATGGTAAGCCAATCTTTTTGACACTTGTTGTGCATATTCAACTTTTTAGTCAATTAGTCAATCTCTTCACTCATTCCCATTTAGGTACAAAAATAATGGTCAAAACTTCCATGTTAAGCTGCCTTCAAGGGAAACTCCAGTTTCAAATGTTGTAATTCCCGAAGACCTTGTACAAATTCAAGCATTTTTGAGATGGGAAAAGAAGGGGAAACAAATGTATTCACCAGAACAAGAAAAGGCAAGTAAAATTTCACATTTCTTGTATCTTTTCTTTCAATCAATGCCCACATTACAAAATGCAATTTTTACTGAAGTAATTTAACAACTTACAGATGGAATATGAAGCAGCTCGTGCAGAACTATATGAAGACATTTCTAGGGGGAGTTCCATAGAGGAAATAAGAGCAAGGCTTACTAAAAAAGATGATAAAAATTCCAAAAAAGATATTGGAACCTCTAATGATGACACACAGAAGAAAATTACCAAAGGAGAGATAAAAACTAAGGTTCAAAAGCATCAGGAAGCTAGAAGCTACTCAACTCAAAGCATTCAAAGAAAGAAGAGGGACCTCATGCAACTTCTCAACAAACATATTCCAGTTTCTGTAAAGTCTGTAGAGGAAAAATCCTCCATGACACCAAAATCTTTGTCTGCATTGGAACTTTACTCTAAGCTCATAGAGGAACAAAGTGACATAAATATATTGAACAAAAAGACATACAGAGTTGCTGATGATGAGCTTCTGGTAGGTTCTAGTAACAAAATACCTTTTTGGGTGTTAAATTAATTGCATTATGTCTAAAAAAAATTTGTATGTTTTATTTAGGTACTTGTGACAAAGGCTTCTAGTAAGATAAGAGTTCATTTGGCTACAGGATTCAAGGAGCCACTCACCCTTCACTGGGCATTGTCAAAAAAACCTGGGGAGTGGCTGGCAAGTTTCTATATTTCTAGCTGTTTTTTAGAACAATTTACAAAAAGAAAAAATATATATATATATATATATATATATATATATATATATATATATATATATAATTTGCCCACTTTTTATGATAAAAAATCTTTATTCAAGCATATCTACAACTTCCTAAAGTGAATAACATTAATAATTTTACTTATTTCAGGCACCACCTGAAAATTTGTTACCACAAGGGTCTTCTTCTTTAGCTACATGTGCTGACTCACCATTTTCTACTATCTCTATTGATGGTTCAACTAACAAGGTCTGCAAAGAGAAGTATTTATTATTTTTTTTTAAAATTTCTTTTAGATGATTATCAGATGAAAAGAAGAGTATGTTATAAAATGGAGGGTAAAATGGTCATTTATAAAAAGTTTAATGGGCTAAACCTAACAGTGTCAAAACGAGGGACCAAATTAAAAAAAGATTCCTTTGTGGACCATTTCTGCAGTTTACTCTTATTATTATTATTATTATTATTATTATTATTAATTATTAAACTGTGGATAAATTCTTGTGTATAACAGATACAATCATTAGAAATAGAAATTGAAGAGGGTGATTATGTGGGGATGCCTTTTGTTACTTTTTCTGGAAATAACTGGATTAAGAATAATGGTTCAGACTTCTACATTGAATTTGTTGGACCCAAGAAGGCAATAAAGGTTCTTCTCCATCTAATCTTCAATCAATGAATTTCTATAGTTTTAGTTATTTGATTCTTTCATTTTTCATAGCTGTATTTATTATTATTATTATTATTTTTTTCTGTATGAAGGATGCAGGTGATGGGAAGGGTACTGCTAAGGCCTTGTTAGACAAAATATCAGGGCTGGAAAGTGAAGCACAAAAGTCTTTCATGCATAGGTTTTCATTTCTTTAATTTCACGACAAGATTAATTATATCAAAACATGATTAATCATGAATTCTTTCTTTTCCTCTTTAGATTTAATATTGCAGCTGATTTGATGGAAGAAGCCACAGACACTGGTGAGTTGGGTCTTTCAGGAATTTTAGTTTGGATGCGTTTTATGGCTACAAGACAACTAATCTGGAATAAAAACTACAATGTAAAGCCTCGGTAAGTTTATTTAAAGTAATATCTCAAGTATCTTATTCATAATGACAAGGGTATTTTGGTCACTTTGCCTATGTTTTGTGCAGTGAGATAAGCAGAGCTCAGGATAGGCTTACAGATTTGCTTCAAAATGTTTATGTGAATTATCCACAATACAGTGAGCTTTTAAGAATGATCATGTCAACTGTTGGACGTGGAGGTGAAGGAGATGTAGGTCAACGTATCCGAGATGAAATCCTTGTGATCCAGGTGGCATTTAAAAAAAAAAAAATCTTTATTACATTCGTTTTAATCATTAAATTCACTAATATTCATCTATTTGTCAAGTGTAGAGAAAAAATGATTGTGCAGGTGGAATGATGGAAGAATGGCATCAGAAACTTCACAACAACACAAGCCCTGATGATGTTGTGATTTGTCAGGTATATTGAATGATAACCAGTCTACTCATCTTTTTTGAAACCATAAATAATTAATTACTCATTTTTTTTTTCAGGCGTTAATTGATTATATTAAAAATGACTTTGACATGAGTGTTTATTGGAACACACTGAATACAAATGGAATAACAAAAGAAAGACTTTTAAGCTACGATCGAGCCATCCACCATGAGCCAAGCTTCAGGAGAGACCAAAAGGAAAGCCTCTTGCGTGATTTGGGAAGCTACTTGAGAACATTAAAGGTTTTTTTTTTTCTTTTTATTTTTCTTTTTTATTTTCCCAATATTCTGCAAACCTTCAAGTTTTTTTTTTGTTCACAGGCAGTTCATTCAGGTGCAGATCTTGAGTCTGCGATATCAAACTGCATGGGTTATAAATCTGAGGTAAGTCCAGCATTCTGCTTTAAATCAGTTATTAAAATATCGAGCCTTAAATTTTTGTTAATTTTTTTAAAAATTCAGGGACAAGGTTTTATGGTAGGGGTGAATATCAACCCTGTTTCAGGTCTGCCATCTGGATTTCCGGTAATTTTCATTTATTTTGAGGAACAATTTTTTGAGCTCCATGATTTCTGTATAACTTAAAATGTTTCAAACAGGAACTGCTTCAATTTGTTTTGAATCATGTGGAAGATAGGAACGTGGAAACCCTTCTTGAGGTATTCCAAAGTCTCTCTTCAGGCTTTAATATGTGTAAAAGACAAAAATACCCTCATTATCTTTATATATATCCAGGGACTGCTGGAAGCACGTGAGGAACTTCGGCCATTACTATCTAAACCAAATGATCGTCTCAAGGATCTTCTCTTTTTGGACATTGCCCTCGATTCTACTGTAAGGACAGCCATTGAAAGGAGCTATGAAGAGCTGAGCAACGCTAAGCCAGAGGTAAATCCTATTTTAGCACGTCTTATTTCCAGTTTTACCCTTTCTGTTCTCTTCAACCTTGACCACAATGTTCTTTTTCAGAAAGTTATGTATTTAATCACTCTTCTTCTCGAGAACCTCATACTCTCATCAGACAACAACGAGGACCTGATCTATTGCTTAAAGGTAACCTCTCGTTTCTACTGATTTATTTCTTCAAAAACACTAAATGACTAAACTACCCTTATATCTTTTTGCTATGAAGGGATGGAATCAAGCACTAAGCATGTTGGAGACTGGAGATGGTAGTTGGGCATTATTTGCAAAATCAGTCCTTGATAGAACCCGACTTGCACTTGCCACCAAAGGGGAGTTGTATCATCAAATTTTACAACCTTCAGCTGAGTACCTTGGGGCCCGCCTTGGATTAGACCAATGGGCGGTACGATAACATAACAGATTGTACTGTGTTTGGTATGCATTGGACTGGGACTGTGACAGATGTCAGTGTGACAAGAGTAAATTACACCAATGGTCCCTATGGTTTGGGGTAATTTTCACGTTTGGTCCCTAACTTATTTTTTTTAACTCGGAAGGTCCCTACTGTTTGTTTTTGTTGTGTGTTTGGTCCTTGTCTTACGTAAAAAGACTATTTTACCCTTCATTTTTTAATTTATTTAAATAAACACACCCCCACCCCATTTCCACCTCACCTTACCTTACTTACCCCGCGTTATTTAAATAAATTAAAAAAATCAAGGGCAAAATGGTCTTTTTAGGTAAGCCAGGGACCAAGTGCGCAACAAAAACAAATTGTAGGGACCTTCCGAGTTAAAAAAATAAGTTAAGAGACCAAACGTATAAATTACCTCAAACCATAGGGACCATTTGTGTAATTTACTCGTGTGGCAATAATTGCAATTTTTTGTCCCACCCAAAAAGACGAAACTAGATGGGATAGGGACTCGCTCTCGGTATCTTGTCTGTGTAAAAGACGTAAATGCCCTTGTCATCTTGTCCTGTCCCTTGTAATAAATGTAGCCTTTATGTTTAACTATCTTGATCTAATTTGGTATTATAATTTATGCAGGTAAGCATATTTACTGAAGAAATGATTCGTGCAGGATCAGCTGCTTCTTTATCATCATTGGTTAATCGACTTGACCCCATTCTTCGCAATGTGGCTAATTTGGGGAGGTTGGTTTAATCAAAATTTCCAATCTTTTATAGTTCCAAAGTATCAATCTCCAATCATAAAAAAAAATAAACAACTTATAAATGCAGCTTCCCTTGTTGTATACAGTTGGCAGGTAATCAGCCCAATTGAAGCTGTTGGATACATTGTGGTGGTTGATGAGTTACTTTCAGTTCAAAACAAATCCTATGAATCACCAACAATTTTAGTAGCAAAATCTGTAAGAGGAGAAGAAGAAATCCCTGATGGAACAGTTGCTGTAATAACACCCGATATGCCAGATGTTCTATCCCATGTTTCTGTTCGTGCAAGAAACAGCAAAGTCTGCTTTGCAACATGTTTTGATCCAAATATTTTGGATGATCTTCGTGCAAAACAAGGGAAATTGTTAAAACTAAAACCTACTTCATCTGATATAACTTATAGGTAAACATCATTTCCTTTTATAATAAATCTTGAATTATCATCTTACTTTGTGTTTGGATGATGATGATGATGATGATCTTAGTGAGGTGAAAGAGGGAGATTTAAAGCAATCAGGTAATTCGGAAGAAGTTGGTTTGCCATCAAATATAAAATTGGTCAAAAAAGAGTTTTGTGGTAAATTTGCTGTTTCGGCTGAAGAGTTCACAAGTGAAATGGTGAGAGGGTTTTTACCTTTTTATATTGTGATTCTTTGTTTATATTATAATATTCTGAATTAATGTTATTTTGTAATTGTAATGAAATTTTTAAGGTTGGAGCTAAATCACGTAACATTGCATACCTAAAAGGAAAAGTACCATCATGGGTTGGGATTCCTACTTCCGTGGCTTTACCTTTTGGAAGTTTTGAGAAAGTTCTTTCTGATGTAAAAAATAAGGTACTTTAACTTTTTAGTACCTATGGTTTGAGGTAATTTGCACGTTTGGTCCCTAACTTATTCTTTTAACTCGGAAGGTCCCTACAGTTTGTTTTTGTTGCACGCTTGGTCCCCATCTTACTTAAAAAGACTATTTCGCCCTTGATTTTTGTAATTTATATAAATAAAATGGGGTAGGTAAGCTGTTAGCTGAGGTGGAAGTGGGGTTGGGGTTGTGTTTATTTAAATAAATTAAAAAATTAAGAGCAAAATAGTCTTTTTTTGGTAAGACAGGGACCAAGCGCGCAACAAAAACAAACAGCAGGGACCTTCCGAGTTAAAAAAAATAAGTTAGGGACCAAACGTGCAAATTACCCCAAACCATAGGGACCATTCATGTAATTTACTCTTTTTTTTTTTTTTTTTTTCAAAAGGTTTGATAAAAAAATACATTAATTTGCAGGGTGTGTCCGAAAAGCTGAAAATCTTGAAGAAAAAATTAGAAGCAGGAGAGTTTGAAGTCCTTGAGGAGATCCGCAAGACAGTTTTGGACCTTGTTCCACCACCCCAGCTGGTAAGTCCGAGGAGGGTATTTCCGTCTTTTCCACATGTCCCATGTCAGAAGATTCCATTTTTTTTTTTGTCTCATTGATAATGGAGATTATTATTTTAGGTAGAAGAGCTGAAAAACAAAATGAAAAGCTCTGGCATGCCATGGCCAGGGGATGAAGGTGAGAAAAGATGGGAACAAGCATGGACTGCTATAAAGAAGGTTGGTTAGAACAACACGATTAATTCCTAACTTATTATAAAATAAAATAAAAAATCATTTTTGATTTTTAATTTCCAGGTTTGGGCTTCAAAATGGAACGAAAGAGCCTACTTCAGTACACGAAAAGTGAAACTAGATCATGACCTCCTATGCATGGCTGTATTGGTTCAAGAAATAATAAATGCTGATTACGCATTTGTTATTCATACCACAAATCCATCTTCTGGAGACCCATCTGAGATATATGCCGAGGTTTCCTTTATTATTTAATCTCAATTATTTTCTATAAAATTTCATTTTTATTATCTGTTGTTATGCTACAGGTAGTAAAAGGTCTTGGGGAGACTTTGGTAGGAGCTTATCCAGGTCGAGCATTGAGTTTCATTTCCAAGAAAGATAAACTTGATTCTCCTAAGGTATATTTATTTTATAATCTGTTTAAAATTTTCATTTCATGTGATTATATATATATATTTTTTTAAAGGTTTTGGGTTACCCAAGCAAACCGATTGGGCTTTTCATAAAAAGATCCATCATCTTCCGATCTGATTCCAATGGTGAAGATCTAGAAGGCTATGCTGGTGCAGGACTTTACGATAGGTAAACCATCACTTGATTTGATATTCCTTCCTCTCATGAAAACTAATTTTAATATTTTGAAAATTCTATGTTACTACAGTGTGCCTATGGATGAAGAAGAAAAAGTTGTACTTGATTACTCATCTGATCCATTAATGGTTGATGGAAACTTCCAGAAATCAATCCTCTCGAGCATTGCTCATGCGGGTGATGCCATAGAGAAGTTATATGGATCCCCACAAGATATTGAAGGTGTCGTACGTGATGGGAAAATTTATGTTGTTCAAACTCGACCTCAAATGTGATCATAATTACTTCATACAAAAACTCCCTAGAAATATAAGAATAAATCAGTTATAACATCAAAATGTTGTATTAATATTTAATAATATGAACAAAGGTTATTTAACTTCTCAAGTATATGTATAATCATATTGAAGTTACACTAATAGGATCTATTCTTTCAACTTTAAAACTAATCTCACTACTTTCATAGAAAATCTTTGTATTTGGTCAAGATTTAGTCGAGAGATGATCTTTCGTTATAGATGTTATCATCTTGACCAAAATCTGAAAATGTTGCAAATGAAAGCTGATTTTGTAAAATAATAATACTCCACAAGTAAAATCAAACCATGAAAAGTTAAGTACGCAATAGATTTAAAATTTAAAAAAATATTGTTTCTTTCATCTAGTCTATGAAAATGGATGGGCATAATAAAACAACAAAAAATACATGATAAGCAAGAGATTGGAAACGGCTATGATACCACTATTAGAAATTATATGTTACTGAAACGATTTATGAACCAAAATGCAATATAAAATACAATTTGTAATAATTCACTATAATCCGCAACTATATGGGTTTCGAATAATTTACAAATGGCTTTGATATCATTGTTATTGTATTTGTATATGATGTATGTTCATTTATATCTATTTTTTTAAAATAATTTTTAACTATCATATGATTCATTAGGCTTTTCACGCCTAGTATGCTATTTTGATATATGTCCAAATTAATAATAGTTTTAATAAATTAATAATAGTTTTAATAGTGCTTTTGGAGATATGAAGTTGATGAGGAATTCAACAAGATTTTCAAGTTGGAAAGAATTTAGACTTTGTAACTATTATTTAGTCTCTTTTATTGATTGAAAATTTGATTAATCAATCACAATCATTTGAAGTTTCTAAACTTAGCTGAGGTTTTTAATGAAGAGTGGAGATCCTTTGGTATAGAAACAAGATCAAAATATATCTTCTATATCAACATCTACATAGACAAACGTGAATAACTGCTACATTCCTACCAAAAAAAGAAATGCAAGCCACCATCTTCCTTTGCTTGTGATGTTCGAAGATCACCTGTAGAAGTAAACGGGGACCGTTTTTAGGTAGGGAGAGAAGAGAGATACTCATGTGGGGCGTGAGGTCGGGAGTTCTATTCCATTAAACTACCTCTTGTGGTGCCACATGTGGGGAATTTTTCCCTGGAAATCCCTATGAGGGCTGAGTTTGCCCTGTAAAGGAGCTCGAACCCGGGGTGCTCGTTGAAATATTACGAGTAGACTCCACTTAATTCGTTTGCCATTTCAAAAAAAAAAAAAAAAAAAGGAGAAGAGATATAGTTTAGGATTTCTATCATTGTTCTTAAAGCCTATTAAAACTTTCCTTGTATACTAACATTAATTGGTGAAACTTTTTAATTCTCTTTCAAGCCATTAGCTTAGTAAGTCAAAATCTCTAATAATTAGTTTCCTTAATTAAATGCTTAAATACATAAACCGATTATTTCTTTAATAAAACTCATTTTTTTTTATTTTTCTTTATTAAATATAATAAATAACCATTTTGAAACTATTTAGTCTAAGGGGTAAATAATAAATTTAGAGAAATTAAATATCCTCCTACCTTTTATTCCTACATATCATCCTACCCAATTAAATGGTGACATGTATAACATTTAATGCTCATTTAATGAAATTTAAAGATATTTTAGGATACTAATATGATACATGTCATTATTTAAATGAGTAGGAGGATTTGTAGGAACAAAAGGTAGGATGATATTTAATTTCTCATAAACTTATCATATGTTCATATATAATCACTAGTATATGTAGTAAAACTCTTTGTTTCTAGCACACACTAGATCCAATAATAACATTGTACTTATTCTTTTGCAATGCTCTCCCGAAATGAAGGTTTGATGATTGCAAGGAAGCTAAAAGTTGTAAAGAATTTTGATGAAGTATGCAACTATCATATTCGTATATTAACTTGTTTATATATCCTCTTATCTAATAAAAGACTTTTTTTTAATTTTTATTTATAAATGTCACTCCTACAATTGTTTTCCCATGAATGTTTAATTTACTTCATTACCATTTTGGTTCTTTAATTCATTCATTCCCGGAAATCAAGAATTCAAGATATGTTGGATTGTTCGGTTCATTTATTCTTATCTATTCAAATTTCAAATATTTGCAACCCTCCTTTCCCATTCTTTCAGGCCAATTTCCTTCTCCACACACCGCCTCTTTCCTCCATTAAACCTTTGAAATTCTCATGTTTCAAGGGTTTTTGGTTCTTGTTGTTCGTTGCTTCAGTAAATTAAAATATCATTTTTGCCCTTGGCAAAGTTAGTGGTTTAAAATCTTTATACTAATCTTGCTCTTGAAGAAAACTACGAAGATTACCGTCTCAGGTATTCTACTAGTTTATGTTTTCAGCCCTAAATCGACTTATGGTCTCTATTTCATTTTGATTTTTAGCTTTTGAAACCCTTAATGTTCAAGTTGTAAATCGATTAATAAGAGTTTGGGCTTTATTTTGTATCGGGTTTTATGTTGGTCCATTAGCTAGAAAACCCTAATTAGCTAGTCTATATATTCTGCCTTTTCCTTTCATCATATCTTGTACTTCTCATTTGATAATAATATAAACCCTAGCAATTCTATGTCATGTTAGCTTACATGGTATCAGAGGTCGGTTTGATCATCTGTATTTTCGCTTTTGGGGGCAAGTTGTAGCAGGAACAACGTTGCGTAATTTTATGTATGGTTTTCTTGCTTGTTTCTGTATTCCGTTTGATTGATTTGTTCGTTTCGTCGATTTCAGGGGTCTCGTTTTGTCTGTTGGGTTTGTTGATTTCAAGATCTTGATTGTTGTTACTGCTACTCGTATTTACTGTTGTTTTGGTTATTCTCGTTTGACTGATATTGGAAATATGGCACCGAGAGATGATTCTCTTCAGTCCATTAGTATCCAAATCGATAGCAAAAACTATGCCAATTGGAGTTATGTTATGAAAAGTTTCTTGTGAGGCAAGACTCTGTGGGAGATTGTTACAGGTGACAAGAAGAAACCAAGAGACGAGAAGGCTACTAATTATGCAATCTTACTGGATTCATGGGAAACTGATAACTCCAAGATCATTACATGGATTAATAATTCTGTTATGTAGTCTATTGGTACTTAGTTGGAGAAGTGTGACACAACAAAGGAGGTTTAGGATCACTTGGCTAGGTTGTATAATCAGTCTAACTTTGAAAAGAAGTGTCAGTTAGATTTTGATATTCGGGCCCTCCAATAGAACAATCTCAGTGTTCAGGAATTTTATGCAGCCATGTCAGATTTATGGGATCCGTTAGCTTTTATAGAACCTGATGTGTTGAATACTTTTAAGCTTTTTAGTGATAGAAGGGAAGAGCAACGTTTTCTTCAATTCTTGATGGCATTACGTTCAAATTTTCAAGGCTTGTGTGGATCAATCTTTCATCGCACACCTCTTCCCAATATTGATTCGGTTGTTCATGAGTTGATTGCTGAAGAAACTCGTATCAAGTCCTATGTTGATGAAGTTCCCAAGACAGCCACTCCTGATATATTTGCTGTTTCATAACTATATTTGGTATGTACTTGACCCGATTGGCATGGTCCATTTGGGTTGCATGGCATCATGCATTTGGATAGACTAAAATGAGAGAAATAACACTTAAGGTTTATTAATATATTATAAGTTCTAATATATTAATAAGATTATTTAATTAGTACCGATCAAGAATTAATTTGGAATTAATTAAGTGATAAAAAGGAGACTAATTAAATATATGGATTGATTGTGTAAACCATCCATACTTGTATAGTGGGCTAATGCTCCGTGGATTATCAAGTTGGGCTAAAACTCATAGGATGCTCCATGGTGTTTTTGTATCCATGTATCATGGAAATGAAAGGCCATGCAATTAGGGTTTACATGGTGTAACCCTAATTGTGACACTATATAAGCATCTTATTCTTCCCAAAAATTGGCACTATAAACGAATGGTGAGGGCTAGCCGATTTCATGAAGTGGTTCATTTCTCTCTAAGTTATTCCAAATGTATTTGAAGTTGTGTGAACCATTTGAGGTGTCACACTTGGGTGACTAGGCTCTTGAGCTCCATGGAATCAAGCTACATCAAAATGGTATGTATTCTATCTAGTTTTGTTATACTAGTACTTATGATTGTATGCTAGTTAGCGTAATACCTTGGAATATTCATATTTGCATGTATAATAGAGAAAACATAGATTCAAGGTATTTAGGGTTGCATGTACACCTAGGAGTGTTAGAATGCTCATAACCCATCAGTGGTTTCAGAGCCTAGGCTTGTTTTCTTGTTATACTTGCAAAATTGGTTGAAAAATCGAAGTTTGTTGTTGTTTCTTAGCAGACTCGCCGAGTCCATGAATGGACTCGACGAGTCCAAGGCTAAATTCATCCAACTCGCCGAGTTGGTTCATGCACTCGATGAGTTGGACTCCCAGACAACATATCTTTGACTGTTTTGGCTGGAATTGGACTAGGAACATTACCCTAAGCTGTTTTTCAACTTATAAACCTATTTTTGGTGTGGTAATGTTCATGCTAATCCAATTTCAAAGATAATTGTCAATAGATTCATGTTTTGTATTAGTTTAATGGTTAGGCTAATCACATGAAAAAATTTGATTGAATTATCTTGTTCTTATGGGTTGCTTAGATTAATAGAAAAGTTATGTGAAATTGTTGTTTTCAATCCAAATTTATCTAATACTTTTTTCTAAAATGTGCTTTTGTAACTTGTCCTCAAGCTATATGAAAAGTCAAATTTAAGATTCATAAAACTCATAAATATTTCCATAGGTTATGTATAAAGAAAAGTCATATTCTTTTAATAGTTTAAAGTCTTCCATAACTTGTCCTCAAGTTATGGAACTTGAAGAGTTTTTGAATTAAAACCACTTTAAACACATAAGTTAAGGAATTGAATGGTTTTGAAACTTGCCCTCAAGTTTTGGAATTTATAAAGTTATCCCTTATGAATACTTTAATTCCAACTTAAGCCCTTAGAATTTTAAAAGTTAAAATTCAACCCTTATACTTTATAGTATTATAAGTTAATTTTATATATATATATATATATATATATATATATATCTATATATATATATA